CCCTTTTCCTCCACTAAATATTCATACACTCGGATCATAAAGATATAGGTTATACTTCACGGTGTTGGAAGACAGACCAATTTGGGGAGCCAGGACCATCTAGAAAGAGACCTACAACACTTCGTTCCCCAGCCTTGGTAGGTAAAGTGCAGTGTCTTGTAACAGGAACCTATGAATATAAAGGTAAGTGACAAAAGACATCCACGTGTCTGAGAGAACAGTACGAAACGTAATCAAGAAGGACCCCAGTCTGGAAAAGCGACACAAGTCAAGTGCACACAAGTTGCTTCCACGACAAACTAGTTCAACCGTTGAATATCTCAAGAAGCTGAAGAATGAAATCTTATTCTTGCTATTACATATGAAGATGCATTGGTCATGTCGTTGGAAGAAGCGCCTATGAATTTTTATGTGCCTGGACTGTTGAAACAGGCACTGGGAAATCGTCGTTCTTGTACACCAGATGTGTTATGGAAAGCCTGTCTGAAGGAAGCATGTGCTTTGAACACAACAGTCACACAATGAAGCTTTTTGCAATAGAAGCTACACTGCAGGAGTATTGTCAAGGTGCACGATTGTCAGACAGAGCACGATTAGACGTGGTAACATGGCATAACGACATAGTGTTAATATAATCGTGTTAATATAACCTTTGATATAAATATTTGCAAATCAACACTAACAAAATTAATTACTAATATAATATAAAAACTCCTAGCCTTTTATGGTTGTTAATTCCGGTGAAAATTTCATACTCATGCCTGATGATAGTTCTATAATTGTGACCCATTTTTTTATTTTTTTTGGAAGCAACACAATGATAAATTTTTAACCTTTTATAATGTTTTCTAACCAAACTCGTGCATATTCGTCATCATAAAATGTTTCTAATTAATGTTCTTGCTTTTCATGGAGTATTTTCTGCTTGCTCGAGACATTCTGAAATTAAAGTCATTGATATGATAAAAATGTTCCGATGTACCAAGTGTTAAAAGGTTGATCCTATTTATTTATGTTTCTAGCAAATTATTGATTATTATTATTATTTAGTTTAATAACATACAATTATTTATCTTTTATCTAGGTTTTTATGAAATATTGTTGGTTGATATTGTTTTGGTGTCTATAAAAGTTGTTAGTAAGTAGTTCTGATGACTTTAGAACATTGACAAATACTTTCAAGTTCCTGTCTACAGTAAAACAGATTGTTTTGTTTGTTTGTTTTACTGTTAAGCACAAAGCTACATGATAGACTATATGTGCTGTGCCCACCAGGGGTATCTAAACCCAGTTTTTAGCCTTATAAGCCTCAGAACTGCTGCTAAGCCACTGGGGCGCATTATATTGTTAATTGCTATTATTTGAGCACTAGTTTTGTTCGTGAAACATAATATTTATATTTTCCCTACAGCTTGTAAAGGATTATTTAACGTTTAATTTTCTCCTATAATGACAGGGTTGATCGGAATATATAAGATCGATTTGCATACGCTAATGCAATAGCAAATAGCATTTCGCTCCAGATGCATGACGCAGGGCCTCTGGCAAAGTGCGATTAGGAATGGGTTCAGAAAGAACACCCAAAGCCAATTAGGGCCAACAATTCCATCCGCAAAGCCGAGGTTGTAGTTAAAGAGAGCCTTTCGACCTAAAGAGTAAATGAAATGGAACTGGGCATATCTCTCACTAATGCCAACAAGGTAATAACAAAGAAACCGAAACTGATGAAGAATGGCATGCTTTCAGGGACACCTCGAACTCAGTGGCTGTTTTTGTAAAAAATAATAATAATAAAAGATTACAAAAGCAACTCGACTGATGAATACACCAATCCCGCTTAACCACAAAAGCAACTCGACTGAAGAATACATCAATCCCGTTTAACCACATCCCTGCCAAATACTCCATTGCAAATTCAATGAACTTTTGTGTATTTATTCAGCTTAAACTTAGTTTTGGATGTCGACAGCCGCACATAATTTAATTATAGGAAGTTTGTGAAGAGATGCGGATTGACTTTGCTTAAAGTTACAAAAGAAATTGCAGAGTCGTGGGCAGTTGTCTTAATCATGGCCATCAGATTGAGCATAATCAAGGAAGGAATAAATATTTCCAAGGGCATCACGAGTGTAACATCGTTCTTATAAAGTGTGATTGACCCTTTGCATGAATTTGTTTTTCCTTGTTTTTAACAACCTATTAAGTTTTCCAAAGAAGTGGTGTAGCATTCATTTCCGAACTACTCTAGTTGTTAGGAGCTTAGTTTAATGTAATTTCTCAACTGAAATGTCTAAGTTTTTATTATCAATATTATTTACCTTTTCAATTTATCTACTGTTTCCTGTAGTTTCTGTGAAGTAAAACTAGGTTGAAGGTGACGGAGAAGTTCAGTGACAAAAGTGTCACTAATTCCTGGACACGACTTTTCAGCTATATCAAAGGCAGCTTGGAGATCTTTAATAGCATTAGGTAATCCATTGTCCTGCGACTTATCTTGATTCTGGTGCTTTCTGTGAAGCTGAGAACAGAGAATTCTGTGAGTAATAAAGTAAAAAAGGTGTGATAACACTTAAGCCTGCAAAAAATATATGACAAGAAAAGCTCTCCAAATGAATAACCATCAATTTTCGCTGTTTATTCATTCGGAAATATATTTCCAATAGCAGTTACAATTATAATATTTTATCAGACTAGAAAACTAAAAACAAACACAAACATAATCACTTATCTATATGTCAAAAGAAATAAAACAAATCAATTTTTACATCTCATCACTTTGGTCCTACCTCATTGATCAGTGGATGAATCACTGTTGACAGACAAGATGATTCCTTGAAAGACGTTGATTTTGTTGTTGATGGTGGAGTTGTGGATACATTCTTAGCATCTTTATTTTGGCTTTGGGATTTTTTGTCTTCTTTAATTTGTTGTCCAGTTCCAGGTTCTCTATATAACATATCTTTGTTCTCAGAGTTTACAGTTATTCCCATGTCCACATTTTTTGTAAGGATAGCCCCATTCTGAATTATGTGATTGGGAGATAAATAGTTTTTTGGAAACTCTTTAGAAACCTCTTCTTTGACTTTTTGCTTGCTTATTAATTCCGGTGATTCTACGACTGTTACAGACTAGGAATGGATAATAAAGGTCAGTAATGTAATCAATTCTCAGAATAAAACACACAAAAAAACTTTAGCCAAGTTGATTAAAAGAGGTGAATAAAATGAAGTCAGAGGGCCATTTATTAATTATATGTGAAAAATATGGAGGGTTAAATGAGATTCATAGTCATATATACATTATAAGTACAAGCAATTATTGAGGTTATGGACATAACTAAAGTACAAACTGGAATTAGTTGACCGAAAATGTTATGAAACAGTCTGACAATTTTTTTTTTTACATAAATGACTATTTTTCATATTTTAATTGTAGAACTAATCTCAGCTTTAACTTGAAATTATTTAGAGATGAGGTGTGCGTGTTTGAGTATAACAATCATGTGGTATCTGCAATTAATCATGTTATTAATGCAGCAGTTTATTGCCGCTTTTATTGCTTTAACTGCCTACCTGAAAACTTGATTTTTCTGCTGCACGTTCATGAATCACATTGTTGTTGAGATTGTTGAACAAGTCTCCATTCTGATGGATTTTGGATGGTGCTTCTATCTGTTGAGAAAAACTACAAGATTCTGATCGTTTGACTGTTCCTAAATCCCACCGCCAACTCTTCCACGTATCATAACTCCTCGACTCCTCCCTTAACGAAAAATACACAAATATTGAGGAATGATTATCTATTTGTTACGTCAGCTCGAGGAGAAAATTACTCTGCAAAATGTTAAAATTTTTATATGTGATAATGTTCTGATAACATGTTGATATAAACATTTGTTGTGATAATGTTCTGATAACATGTTGATATAAACATTTGTTCTGATAACATGTTGATATAAAAATTTGTTCTGATAACATGTTGATATAAATATTTGTTCTGATAATGTTCTGATAACATGATGATATAAAATTTGTTCTGATAACATGTTCATATAAAAATTTGTTCTGATAATGTTATGATAACATGTTGATATAAACATTTGTTGTGATAATGTTCTGATAACATGTTGATATAAAAATTTGTTCTGATAATGTTCTGATAACATGATGATATAAAAATTTGTTCTGATAATGTTCTGATAACATGTTCATATAAAAATTTGTTCTGATAATGTTCTGATAACATGTTCATATAAAAATTTGTTCTGATAATGTTCTGATAACATGTTCAACAAATGTTTATATCAACATGTTATCATAACATTATTAGAACAAATGTTTATATCAACATGTTATCATAACATTATCAGAACAAATGTTTATATCAACATGTTATCATAACATTATCAGAACAAATGTTTATATCAACATGTTATCATAACATTATCAGAATAAATGTTTATATCAACATGTTATCATAGCATTATCAGAACAAATGTTTATATCAACATGTTATCATAACATTATCAGAACAAATTTTTATATCAACATGTTATCATAACATTATCAGAACATCTCGTTATCAGTTAAAAACTATAGAATTGAGAGAACATTCTAACAGCTGAAATGTCGCTCGCATTAGAATGAGGCTGGTTTTAAAGAAAGTTTACTCAAACTCGGCGACAGTTTAAGCCATCCACGCAACTAAAACAGGCACTGTTCTGGGGGCGTTTTTTTTTTTTATAACTGTACAAATAGAGTTTTGAGAGACACAAAGGGTAATTTTTCAAACCGGCCCCCTTTCTCTCACACTCTAACTGAATAATAGTTTCGTGAATGATTTACATATATCACGTTCCGTTTACCTTACGTTCTCTCAAATTAAGTTGACATCCAATCCACACATCAACGAAACTTAACATGTGGGCACTATTTACTCACTCTGTTTAAGTTGACTATAACAGTAGAGCACGTAGTTAGTGTGCTATTCAGATTATCAACTGAGAATTGGTTTGTTTGTTCCTTGATAAGAACAAACCTACACAGTGGACTGTATGTGCTGCGCCATCACGAGTATCTAAACCCAGTATTTTAGCGTTATAAGCCTTCAGACTTACCACTGAGCCAACTGGGGATTCAACTTAGGAACTAGGAAACAGGGGAAAACGTCAACAGTTCTCTACTAGATGTTAGGTAAGATAAACAACGGTTAGCCTAGGGGGGAGGGGGGGGGTAGAGAAATACTTTTTATTCAAATACAGGTAGATTTAACTTTACTTCCATTCAAATTAAGAAATCAACAACTGATTTTCGACTTTAAGTTGTAATACCGAAACCGTGCTTTTCAACTGAACAAATGATTTTGGTAATGACGAATTTTATGCACAATTGCATGTTACAATAGACCCTGAACTAAATGTTTAATTTCAATCCAAGACAACATTTTAATACTTTAGAGCATGAATGCCCAGAGTGTTTCAGCACACAGCCTTCAGAATATTACACATATTGACTAAGGTCTCACACTAAGTGAATCTATAGATACTAAGTATTGTTATTTTGTGTATTTGATACGCACCCCCCTCCTCGACATTTTCTTGCGTCCCCCAGTCTGGAAACTCCCGCTGTAGGGATACATAAAGAAAATTATTCGCAAATACGAAGAGGATTTTAGTTATTCAAGGGGAACATCTCTGTAGTGACTTACTGATCAAACAAGTTGTACGACCTATGTCTCCCAAACTTTATTATAATGAAATCAAATGTTAGTTAAATAGGTGTGATAATAAATAAAGAATTTGTGCCGAGAGTAAAAATTTCATAATTAAATACTACAAATTTTATTGATAAGAAAACTTTGACAAAGAAGGAGTTAACTAATTTTAGTTAAAACTCACTGGTCTGAAGTCTCGGAATCGCTATCATTCTGCCCTCCACCCGACATTTTCCACTCTTTGTGTCGTTCAATAAGATCCACTAGACAAGTGTTTCTTCTGGCCTTTCGTATAAATGGAGATCTCAGAAGTTCTTTTGCTGTTGGTCGCTATCATTGACAAAAGAATATAAGCTGATTTTATGATAGTTTAAACATTGTATATTAACTAGACATTTTTTATACCAAAGGTTTGTTTGTTTTGAATTTCGCGCAAAGCTACACGAGGGCTATCTGCGCTCGTCGTTCCGTTTAGATGTAAGACTAAAGGGAAGGCAGCTAGTCATCACCACCCACTGCCAACTCTTGGGCTACTCATTTACCAACGAATAGTGGGATTGACTGTCACATTAGTTAAAAGGTTGAAAGGGCAAGCATGTTTGGTGGGACGGGGATTCGGACTCGCGATCCTCAGATTACAAGTCAAGCGCCCTAACCACCTGGCCATGCAGGGCCTATTCCAAAGGTAGAAACTTTGTATTATATATTTTATATGAATATCGAATATTTTGTGTTATTTATAAATATGAATAAAACAGTTATTTGGAAACACTTAGGTTTTTCCAAAAAAAAAGTGTAATTGGCCTCGTTATAAGTAATAAATATACTATTTGTAGCGTTCATTATATATATATACACACACACATACATACAGTTTTGTGATTTTTTACAAAAGTGGCAAAATCCTTACATTTTCAGGATCCTTATTTAGACATGCCTCCACGAAATCCTTAAACTGTTTGCTGTAGTCGCCTGTGAGTTGTGGGGGGTTGTTCTTGGGAATAAGAAAAAGCACTCTCATGGGGTGGAGATCAGAGTTCGGGGGCTCTCCCTTAGCTAGTTCAATAGCTGTTATACCGAGGCTCCAGATGTCAGCCTAGCGGACAATCGAGAAATATATTTTTAATAAAGAGATACTGTTGAGTTCCTGAAGGCTAGGTCTTTTTTTCATTATATATCATATAATTACTTAAAAACGTAAAACAGTTTTCTGAAGATTTTTCTTTTAGAGCTGTTTAGTCGTTTTTGCCACATTTCTCAAAAACTATGTGTTGAAGCGCTCCCTTGTGATACACATTGTCCGCTTTATCAATCAAATGTAAAAAGCTTTCATGTGTTAAATATTCATAAAACGTATCAGTTAAAAAAACAAAACAAAAACTAGAGTTTCTACTTTATGTTGATTTATCTATCGAAAACATAGTTAGAAATGTACATCAATATTAAACAATTTATACATCTACATAGATAGATACATTGTTGTTAGTCTCCTTAGACAAACTAGTTCTGATATTGGATTGGCAGAGTTAGGCCTAAGTGCGTACGACGCTACAGGTGAACTTTCTAAAAGTTTTCTGTGATATTCTGTATGTAAAAATAGCTTTATAACCAACAAATAAAAGTTTTATAAAGTTTTTATGGATTTCAAAACACTAATTTTTTATGAATACTTATCATTAAAGGAAAATATTAATATTATATAACATTTACAATCAGTTTGAAAAACACGATAATTTTTATCATCGTTTTGGGAACAAAATAAAATAACTGATATTTTGTGAATAGTCAGCTTACTCTATACTGCATTGTATATATTCATGAATGGCAGTAACAAAAAAGTAATAACCTTGCTATCGTATGCAGATTGTTTGATAACTTCTGGAGCCATCCAGAACGGAGTTCCAACAAATGTGGTTCGTTTGATTGTATTAGTCAGCTGGCCTGCAACACCAAAGTCTGCTAACTTCACATCTCCTGCTTCAGACAATAGGATGTTGGCCGCTGATTGAGATAAAAACAAAACAAAAAACAATTAACACTGATCATTGTGAAGAGAAATAAACATCATTAATAGGATGTTCGGAAGAAAAAGCTACAATAATTTTATAAACTTATATAATACACATAATTGTAATTTTAAAATTGGAATTTTATTTATCCACCTCTGCTGAGCATAAAAATCGGGGAACAGGTATTCTTTATATAGGTGTTATACGCATTAAGGTAGCACTGAGAAAACACTTCTTATAACCTTCAAGTTGAACACAAAACAAAAGTATGATATCGCAATCTCTGAAAGTAAACTTTCAGCCATATATATATATATATCATTGCATCACTAATGCGGCAGGGATAAAGAAATACATAACATAAACTGTTTTAACACCATAAGTTTACTTAGAAATGACAAAAAACATGTGAAAATCGATATACGTGCTCTTTGTGAGCATCCTCATACCTTGAATTAAAACCTTAGCAAATATTCTGTAACGTTAACGAGCTATGGGGCAATTAATTTCAACTAATGCCTTCGTTAGTGTTAATTAGACTCATAATAAGACAACTGGCAAAGATTTTTGAAAAAAAAATAGCCATGGAAGAGTGTAATATCAACTAAATTTCATGCTGATATTGGCTTTAATTAATGGTGAAGTTATCATGCTAATAAATTGGTACCCCAGCGAAAACTATTTTGAGAAAATAGCCGTTAAGACAAAAATGGGTTATTTATGTAGAAAAGATGTTCAACTTTCGATTTAAGTTAAATTTGAAAAAAAAATGTGACTTTTGAAATATTGGGGGCGCTCTTTAAGGGTCAGTGCTACCTTAAGCCAAAGCGGTGTGGTGAGTATCCAATATCAATGAAATCTTTCTGTCTGTCTGTGGACGTATCTACTCTTAAACGAGTTGACCAATCAAGACCAATCTTGGCATGCTAACTTAGTAATCCAAGAGTAAACCAAACTCATATTAAACTTTCCCAGTTATTGAAAAATGAAAATATTTTGCAGAATAACATTGATATCGCTACTGCAGTAGCTATTGTAAATAGTTGAGTTTGAACAAATCCCACACCACAACAAAATTCTCCAAGTCAAAGATTAATAATAAAATCTTCAGCATTTCGGCTTGTTTCCTATAATAACCGAAATATACAGTAATAAAAGATCCATATACAATGTTTTGGTCGTTGTGTGCGACCTTAGAGGGTCACGTTCAATCCAGACCTCGTCCTCCCTCCTTGTCTATTGTTAAGAAACTGTCGAAATTACATGAAGTTATTCAAGAAATCAAAGCTTGAACACTAATGTAGAACACTGAGTAGAAACACTAATTTTACTTCCCTCTTCAGAGCCATGTCCATAAATAGACTGTCTATAGTATTTACTATTTCTCTTTATTTGGTTGTATACAGAATATGGAACTGTTTGTGACTGTATACGACCAAATGAAGAGAAATATTTAATATGGAACTGTTTGTGACTGTATACGACCAAATGAAGAGAAATATTTATTATGGAACTGGGAACTGTTTGTGACTGTATACGACCAAATGAAGAGAAATATTCAATATGGAACTGTTTGTGACTGTATACGACCAAATGAAGAGAAATATTCAATATTAAATATTTCTCTTCATTTGGTCGTATACAGTCACAAACAGTTCCATATTGAATATTTCTCTTCATTTGGTCGTATACAGTCACAAACAGTTTCATATTAAATATTTCTTTTAATTTGGTCGTATACAGTCACAAACAGTTCCATAATAAATATTTCTCTTCATTTGGTCGTATACAGTCACAAACAGTTTCATATTAAATATTTCTTTTAATTTGGTCGTATACAGTCACAAACAGTTCCATGTTGAATATTTCTCTTCATTTGGTCGTATACAGTCACAAACAGTTCCATATTGAATATTTCTCTTCATTTGGTCGTATACAGTCACAAATAGTTCCATTTTAAATATTTCTCTTCATTTGGTCGTATACAGTCACAAACAGTTCCATATTGAATATTTCTCTTCATTAGCAAAAAGTCACTTTTGTTTCACTTGAAATAATCATCAGTCGCGTATTTCACATATAAAAACCCTTTTAACTACACAAGTGATACTTAATTCTAAGCGATATGTTAAGGTCTAATGCAGTTGGACTTTTTCTTATAGTAAACATTGATTGGGGAGAGATACTTAGGATTATCATTATCATGTATGATATAACGATCTATTGTGGTTAGTGAGTCGTTTTTATGTATATTTTTAATCAAAGTATTGGAACGAGCAATCTTCAAGTCTGTCTTTGATTGGTTTAATGTTTATGTTTTTATGCATAAAATTAGTATTTGCTGATCTTGGTATTCTGTTGTACATTATCGGTCTAATGTATTGTTTGTAAATTTTTTATTATATTTTCTGGTGTGGCTTCTGTATTTGTACCTGTTAATCTCTTAACGAAGTTTGCTCGTTGTCACACCTTATTTTTGATTTGGGTAATATGTTTATTCCACGTTAATTTTGAACGTTAAGTTATACCAAGATATTCTGCCGATGTGACGACATTTAGAAGAACTACGTTCAAGTATATTTCAGGAGGATTTCTTAGTGTTTTGATCGATTTTGAAAATATAACAAGGTTCATTTTAGAAACATTTATTTTTATCCTGTGTTTTAAAAAGTATTCAACGATTTGATTCAGAACAGGCTGTAAATTTGTAGCTGCAATCGAAGGAGTCACAGAGTTCTTCCATATCACCACATCGTCTGCAAATTGTTATGTTTAACTAAAATTTGGATCATTTAACGGCATATCACTTACACATATTTTGAAAAAGCTAGAGCTAACTACCCCTCCCTGTGGAACACCCGCCTCGGGAGTGAAATACTCTGAATAGGTGCCCTCTACGCTTACCGAACACCTGCCTCGAGAGTAAAATACTTTGAGCAGGTGCCCTCTACGCTTACCAAACACCTGCCTCGAGAGTAAAATACTTTGAGCAGGTGCCCTCTACGCTTACCAAACACCTGCCTCGAGAGTAAAATACTTTGAGCAGGTGCCCTCCACATTTACTCTATATTTTATATTTAGTAAGGAGTTAGACTACCAGCTAGTAATACCCGTTGGTAATTCTAATAGTTTCAATTTATATCTTAGACCGTTATGCCATACAGTGTCAAATGCTTTCTCTATATCAAGAAAGCAGGCGACAGTGCATTTCTTATGATTAGAAATATCTATTAAGGTTTCAGTTAACCTAAATAAATGATCTGTTGTTTGCCGAAGTTTTCTTAAACCATTTTGAACTTCATGTAATTTTGATGAGATCTCTAGAAAAGTGGAGATCCTATTGCTAATAATTCTTTCTAAATTTTTACCTTTAAAACTAATCAGACTAATTGGTCAGTATCTTCCTGGTTTATTCGTTGGTTTATCTTCCTTTAGAAACATAATAACATTTGCTTGCTTCCAAGAGGCTGGGATGTAAAAAGAGTTAAGGAATAAATTCAATAACGGTGTTAAATGGTCAAAAAATTTCTAAGTGCCCTTTTTAAAGAGAATGGCTTGTATTACATCCTCACTTAAAGTTTTATTTTTGGTTTGTTTTATTGATGCAATTCCTCCTATTTTGCCCCCAGTAGCACAGCCGTATGTATGCGGACTTACAACGCTAGAGTCCGGGTTTCGATACCCCTGGTGGGCAGAGCACAGATAGCCCATTGTGTAACTTTGTGTTTAATTACAAACAAACATTCTATTTTTGTTATTGTCTGTCTTATTTTACTTGCATAATCATTGTTGTTGCTTGAATTTTGTGGATTTGTGGTAGTTATTGGGAAATATGGTGTGTATGTGTTTATTTTGTTCAATATACTCATTTACTGTATTAAAATAATGTGTGTCCTATGTCTGGTTCAGTATTTGTTTTAAATTGTTCGTTAAACACATCGGCTTTTTTGTTCGTTTGTATATGCTATTTTATTTTCGGATATGATTTACTATTGTTTTGATTGTTTGTAAATTGTTTTAGGTGTGACCAAAACTTCTTCAGTTCTGTGTGATCGTTTAGTTTTGAACGGAGTTTGTCTCAAGTATCTTGTTTTAATTGTTCTATTTCGTTTCTTACTTTGTTTCTTAGAGTCTTAATTTTGATGTATGGGTCTCTTGTATTCATAAATTGTCTTCTCAGTTGGCGACGTTCTTTTATCATGTTTATAATTTGTGTATGAGGTTGCCATCTGTTTTGAGCTATATATTGTTCTTGTTTGGGTATTGTATGTTCTGCAGCTTCAGTAATTGTTTGACAATAATAATAATCAATATCAGATGATTTTTGCTGCTATATTTATTGTTGATTCTGGTAATAATTGATCTAGGGAGTTTGCTTTGTTATAATTAACATTTGGTTTTCTTATAGGTTTATTATAATGGGGTTCGAGATCGAAGGCACTTGATATTAGTAAGTGATTACTATCTTCAAAAAGAAAGACTATTATGGACTGAGAGTTCACTTTTCACCGGATCTGTCGGGCTTTCACCAAGGGCATAGCTGAGTATGCTATTTGCCTTTCAAAAAATTAGTCAACTTACACATCTTCTTAATTTATTATTTTTCAAAGTAAAATTTGATATATCTGTTGTTAATATAAACTTATACAAACTTGAAACTTTCCGCTATATTACATTCTTACTTTTATACTTTCCAATAGATGGCGCTACAAAAGATTATTTCCCTTTAATTAAATATTAGAAAGAACTATTTTTTCAAAATTCATACAAGTTTTTATCGGTTGTACATTGTAAAACTTTTGTTTATTTTATACACAACATTTCATCAGGTTTATCTGGCAACATCAGGTGAGATACAATAACTGAGGCTAACATAATTTAATTTCAATATGTTGTTAATACTAAAAGAAAATCAATCCTACTACTGGTAGCTGGTAACTTTCAACAGTCGTAATTCGAAAGGTTAAACAGCCTTAAACACTTTTAACTAAA